GGTGAGGAATTTGGGAGGTAATTAGGTCATAAGAATGGAACTCACACTAAAGAATCAGTACACAAAAAGGGCAAGACCCAAGGTACCCCTACCTCCATAACTCTGCCATATGACACTAAAGCAAGAAGGTAGCCATCTGCAAGCCTGAAAGAGGACTAGATCCCTCACTAGGAACAGAATTGATCAGCACCTTGATTTTAGACTTCCTAGACTCCAGAACTGTGAGAAACAAGTATCTGTTGTTGTTTAAGCCATCCATCTATGGCATTTTGTTATAACAACCCAAGAAGACTAAGACAGCCATGTAACATTGTTACCACAAACTTAGTGGTAATACACATTTATCATCTCACATTTTCTGTAGGTCCAGAGTCTGGCTTTAGCTTAGGTGGCTCCTCTGATTAGGGTCTTAGAAGATTTCAATCAAGACTATTGGAGGATGTAGTTTCATCTGAGATTCTAGTGGGTAAAAATATGCTTTGAGTCTCATTCAGTTTGTTGTCAGAATTAATTTTCTTGTTATTGTAGGACCAAGGGCTTTGGCTTTTTGATTGCTATCAGTTGGAGGTCATCTCAGCATTTAAAGGTCACCTGTATAGTTGCCCAACATGTTTACTTCCTTCCTCAAAGCCAGCAAGGGAGAGAAAGAATAACTCAGCAAAATGGGTATTATAGTCTTTGTAAGAGAATCACATAAGAACATATAGTCCATCACATCTGTCATAGTCTGTTGGTTAAAATCAGTCACAATACTCAAGGAATGAGTATCACATCAGAGCATGAACACCAGGAGGACAGATCCTTAGGGCTATCTTAAGAGCCTGTCCACTACAGGTTGATATGCAGAGATAAACCCAAAACAGACTATATGGAACTTATCCACAAATGAAGAGAAGTTGGTGAACTATACAAAAATCAAATGCCTGTCTTTTTGCCTTTGATTCCTGGTTGGAGAGAATTTCCTCATTTCCATACCTGTGAGTCCACAAACCAAAATTCAGAACAAACTCCAATAAAACATTATAACACTAACCAAAATCAAATGCTACTTTAAAAAAAACCAAACTATAAATTAAAAATGTCTCTCCAGTTTAAACTGGAAATACTGTTTTTAGATACCATTTGTTTATTCTTTCTGATTGAACCATGTTTTCTGAAATTACTACCATAAGACATGTATCTTGAATATGTACGTAAATATATAAATTATAACTTTACCATCATTCCTTTTCTGTAACCAGCTCTACATTTGTCCCTTGAATGCTCACAGACTTTAAGATGAATATCAAATATTAGCCCTTGGTAACAGGATACTGATGATGTGCAATGACAGAATTGGAGGAATTGGAAAGATAGTTGGATTTAGGAAAGAATGGTATCCAACATTTACTAGGCACTTACTATCTACCATATTCTGTTCTAAATCCTTTGTAGGTATTATCTACTCTAATCTTCCCTGGTATTCTTGCTATGTATCCCCATTTCAGTGAAAAGGAAACTAATGTACATGGATATTATGTGATTGCCAAGGTCATATGAACAGTATGTTTCAGAACCATGATTCAACCTAGGAAGTTGAATTCAAACACTCACACAGTTCACTACTGTACCAGAGTCTCTGCAGTAAAAGGAAATGTTACAATTTTACTCAGGAAAAATTGAGTTTGACTAGTTGACGCTTGGTCATTTGAGAAGAAATGTCCTGAAGATTGTGGAGATATGAAATTGGCAGTGGGGTAGAAATGAGGGTCAATGTTGGCATGCAGATAACTAGATGAACAGTCAAGTAGACCAATCATTCAAATGGTTTCTTTATTCAGCACCTGCTTTATGCCAGGTGCTGACCTAAAAACTAAGGATGGCTCATGGTGAACAGGACATTTGAAATGTCTGATCCTACAGGACTGACATTCTAGTGGGAGAAGATAAAGAAGTAAACAAATAAATTTCAGGGCTATAAAAAATCAAGATAATATAATAGTGTCTTCAGATATGTTTGTGGAGAGGCTGGCTGTTGTCTACTTCTGACAATTTATCAGATCAGTGAAAAAAAGTCTCCCTGAGGAGATAGCATTTTAGCTAACCTGCAATGATGAGGAATCTGCCATGAGAAGATGGCAGAGAGGGGCAGGCAGGAATGAGGAGCATTCTGAGAAAAAGGAGCAGCAAGTAGGAGTCCCTGAGAAATGTATAGCCAAAGACAGAAAAATGTTATGCCTTTATACAATTGTATTTTCTTTGTTTCAGTATCTCCTTTCTCCAGTATTCAGTGAACTGTACAAATTATCTCAGAATCTTCAACACCATATTATTTAGTAGACACACAGTGTGAATTTGTTCAATACATTAATGGATTTATTCATTTAGCAATCATTTTATTAAGCCTTCATGCATGTACCAGGTACTTCAGAGATACAAAGATGACCATGTGAAAGCCTGAGTCCTCAATGAATTAAAATATGTGGGGAGCAGAGTTGGAAATAATTAAAATTCAAGATGGTCAATACTATTGGTGCTAGCACAGTATTAGAAAAAAGAATGAGCTGGGTGCAACGACACATACCTATAGTTACCAGCAACTTGGGAAGCTGAGGCCGGAAGATTACAAGTTTGAGTCTAGCCTGTGAAACTTAGCAAGACGCTGTCTCAAAATAAAGTAGAAAGTGTTGGGGATGTAGCTCAGTAATAGAATTCTCCTCAGTGCATTCCCCAGTACTGCAAGAAGAAGAAGAAAGAAAAAGACAAAGAAAAAAACAAAAGACAGCTTACTCTTTATTTGGTGGGGGGTGATTTGGGGAAATTGCTTATGCAGCTTCAGATGACAAAGTTACAGCTGTGTCTTGAAGATTAAGATAGTTGGGGGCTGGGTGTAGTGACACACACCTGTAATCCCATCGACTCAAGAGTCTGAGGCAGAAGGATAGCGAGTTCAAAACCAGTCTCAATAAAAGCAAGGTGCTAAGCAATTCAATGAGACCCTGTCTCTAAATAAAATACAAAATAGGGCTGGGGATGTGGCTCAGTGATTGAGTGCCCCAAGTTCAATCTCCAACATTTCCTCACTACCTAAAAAAACGATAAGGGATGTTAAACAAACAAACAAACAAACAAAAACCCAGAGTGTATTCAGTACTACTGTGACAGGTTTGAGAACCATTGCAACAGGGTCTTGCAGTGGGGCAAAGAGATCGAACTCAACTTCAGTTGTGAATACAGCAAAGGCAAGTGGGAATTAATAGCCAAGGAGCAGGGCAGGCATCTGTGGATGAAAAACTATTAAAAAGGAACATCAAAGAGGATTCTGCCTAAACCAGTTTACCCGAATTTTTGCAGGGCAATGTTCAAACTCATTTGAACTGGGGAATGGTGGAGTAATGGACCCAGTCAGATATGGATGGTGATCAGAAAGTGAGGATGAGGGTGAGGGAGGAAGGATCTTGTCAAACTGACTTAGTAGGGCTCTTTACTAAAGCTAGATTTTATAAGAAAGTTCACACATGGGCCTAAGACAAGGTCAGGATGATGCCTAAAGTTCAGCCAAGCAAAGAATCTTAGGGGCGTAAATAAGAAAAGGCATTTTTGGCAAAAGGATCAGCTTGAGCAAACATTTGAAGGTGACAAAGTACATATCTGGTTTCCTAAACCCCAAGAAGTCTAGGAGTAGATACAATAAGTGAAAACCAGTAGTATGTGCAGAAAGAGTAGTAGCAGTCAGCAAGCTTAGTCAATAACTATCTGTAAATCATAACAAACAAAAACACAAAGAAGCCACTTAAAGGAGTGCCACTAGCCTAATGGGATGATTTCAGCATCATAAAGAATCATCATTATAATGGATTAAGACAACAGAAATGTAAAATGCATGCATTCATAATGATACTAAACAAACAAAAAATTTTGTGGTTAATATTGGAGTTTGCTAGGGTACTGACTCATTTCTCTGAATTTTATACTTAAGAGAAAAACACTCAGCATTTATCTAGTCTCTTCTCTATGAGCTTTATTTCAATCCAATGAGTTGGTTTGAGAAAGTTCTTTTTTGGAAGAATCCCCAAGATAAAGAATCATTGAGAGTACTAGAAATCAACTGTTCTAAAATAAAAGACTTAATATAAATACCAAAAAGCAATGTGAGGACTTTTTTGAATCTTGAATAGAACTAACTGTAAATGACATCTTGGACTCAAGCTGGGAAATTCAAATACATAGTATTAAATTACAGGAAGCAATTAGTGTTCATTTAGATACAATAATGGAGCTTAAACATTTTTTAAAATCTGCATCACTTTGAGATACAGACACGATTTTAAGAGTAAAATAATATTATATCTGAGATTTCTTTTAAAAAGGAGAGAAAGATAAAACTAGACTGGGGAAATGCTAATAAAATTTGATTCTGGGTAATAGATACTTTATTAAAAGTGGGCTCACTTTTGACCATCTTCAAATTTTGCTATTATAGTTTTTAGAAGGCCTACAGCCCTTCCTCCTTGATCTAATAATGCCCAGGCTGAGTAGGGGGCAGCAGTCTGCGGATTAAGTTATGGAACTAGCCCACTCTAAACGCTGATGCGGTGGGGCGATAGCCAAGGCCTAACACTGAGGAGCCTGAATTCCTCATCGCTCTCTCACAAGTCCCCTGGAAAGGGACTTTCTGAAATGAAAGCACCCAACCATTCTAGAAGGTTCTGAGACTTCCCAGGGATTTCCGAAAGAGTTTACAGGCTATAACTGGCAAATCGCTGTGAGACTGCCCTTTTCCTTAGCTCCTGGCGTTGACCCTGCGTGGGACGCTAAAAAGCTGCGGGCCACCTCTAGCAAGCTTACTGGGATTGAGGCTGTCCCTCTCCCATCCCTTCCCTCCCCACTCTCCTTTCCTCCTTCAGGTTTTCCGCCCTAACCCGGCTCCAGGATCCTCACACCGGCGCCTCGTCTCGCCCCGCCCCTCTAGCGCCTCGCCCCGCCCTGCATCCTTGTCCGGCCCCGCCCCTCCAGAGCCTCACCGCCCCCTGACCCGCGCGCGCCTTTTGCAGGGGAGGGGTAGGTTACCATAGCTACGGTGCACACAGAAACTGGACCTCCCTAGCTGTCCCTGGCTGGCCCGAGGAAAGAGGCAGCACCATGAGCCGCGTAGTGACCATCGAGAAGTCCTCGACTGACCGTCAATTATCTCAGCAACTGTGTCGGGAGAAGTCGAGGGGCTACTTTTCCTCCAATCGAACTTACGATTTCCTTTATGGTAAGGCTGCCCCAGAACCCGCTCCTGGGCTGTCGACTCTTGGGCCAGATTGACCTTACAGTTGGTAGGACCTTGCCGGGGAATGGTGAACGAAGGATGAACCTCTGGATAGACTCCCTGCCCAGAGTTGTCTATTGTTAGGCTGGGGCAGCTATGAAGCTCTTCAGATGGCCGCGCGCTCAGGTGCGCCATGCCAGGTGCACCGCGCGGGGACACCTTACTCTTTGTCTCTCTCCTGGGATCATTTGCTCAGATCTGAGCTATCTTTCTGAAACCTACTTCGGCGGAAAAGTATGGAGAGATTTGCAGATTTGGGTATTCATGTACACAATTTTCCCACATTCAAACTGCATACAATGCCCAGCAAAAATGATCTTCCAGCTCTCATTTGCTGGGCAGCTTCAAATTCTGCATTATAGATAAAGAGGCTGCAGTTTATCTCACTTTTGATTTTAGCGTTTTATTTTTCATTAAACGTTTTCTCTTCCATTAAAATACTGTTTAAAAACTATGTTCCTCTAGCGCCAATAAAGCTCCAGTTTATTTTAATTCTCCGACTTTCCACTTGTGTTCTAACTCTATTGGACCTCAAAGTCCTGTTCTATATATTCTCAAAATCTATTTCAACGCTGGTACATATGCTAGGTACTTCAAAATGTTAATTCAATTACCAAATTTACTGTTACATTTGTTACAACAGTCAAACATGATTTTATTTTTTTCCAGTTTTGTTCTCAGTAGCTCTAGGCTTTGGCCTGAATCTAGCATTGTTTCCAAACATATGGTGTTGCCTTTGGGATGCCCAGAGTCTTCTTTGAATGGGATCCTATAGGGTACCCATTTCCTGGATAGGAGCTATGTAATGATTGCTTACATATTCTGGCCCGGGATCTTTATTCATGCTTGGTTTCATCTTTTAAAATAAATCTAGTAAAGTCCTGTAAACATATCTCTATGTTGCTTTCAAAGGTAATTTGGGAAGGAAGATAAACATCTTCAGTAAAGACAAGCAAAGAATTTATTAAGCTTGTTGGTTGTTTTACCTCTAAGTGTCTCTTTTGCAGAGATTGCTAAATGTTTCCATATCCCTTGGAAAGATCAGAAATCCATTCATAATAGGTCAATTGAAAGTCTGCATTGTTACAATAAAACTGGCAAGCTCATGCAGCTAGTCATGGACAGGAAGCAAGGTATAACCAGGACAGACTAGAACCTGGACAGGAAAATTAAACACTAATGTGACATGCTTTCCTGCTTTCTTTCTTTGACCTTACAGTCTTTTACCCTGTTAGTGTTGACAGATTTAGCAAATAAAAATAGAGGATGTACAGTTAAATTTGAATTCCAGATAAAAAAACATAATATTTTAGTATAAATTTTTCATCCCATGCAATATTTGGGACATTTATATTAAAGAATTATTAATGGCTTATTTGAAATTCAGATTTAACTGGCAACTCTAGCTATCTGTATTTTATCTGGCATGTTATTGTTTTCTATGTGTGTGCTTCCTTTTTCCATTTGACAACCACTTGTGTATGGATTTATCTTACTAGAACAGGGGCTGGGGTGGCACTCTACATAACCTCTTAATCCTAAAGCTTACCACCAATTGTATAGAATAGAGTTTCATGTATCTTAGTTGAAGATTTAAAATAAATAACATTGATGCTGACCAGCTGGTAAGTTTGTTGACCTTGGGTCTGGTTTCCATCTGTAGGGAAAAAAAAAAAAAAAAGAAGTGACGGATTAGGTATGGGGTCAAAGGTACAAATATGAACACCTCTAAGCTCCTTAACTGTTATCTAAGAAGCCCTTGGTTATTTCCTTCACTTTTAATGTATTATTCTTTGCATCATTCTATTTCATTCACCCTGGTCTCTGCTGTTCTCCAACATATCAGTCATGTTTTCATCTTAGGGCCTTTCATCTAGTGATTTGCTCTCCTAAAATGTTCTTCCTCCAGATATTCATATAGCAAATCCCTCACCTTCAAGTTTCCTTACATGTTATGTTGTCATGAATTTAAAATTTGATCCCAGTCTCCCTTACCCTGATATCTTTTTTTAATAGCACTTATTATTCTCTAACATATTATATAATTTCTTGTTTATTATTTTTGTTGTTTAATGTGCTTACCATGAAGTCAGTTTTTAAAAATCTTTTTGTTGATGTATGTAGTCCAAGCATATAGGACATAATAGCCAGTCAAAAACACCTTGTTGTGTGAAGGAAAAAGGGAGCCTGAGCCCCTTGCAGCTTTTCAAATGTTGGTGGAAATATCAGATAACTACATCCAGCAGGTTGTTTTTTGGGGGCAACTACAGAGTCGTTAGGTTTTAAGAATTGACTCATTCAAGTTCGAATGAAACTTATTTCTAACATTACAATACCAGTTTACTAATATCTATGAAGAAATATATGTCACTCAGTTGCCTAGACTAGCTGGTCAGGGTATTTGTTTCCCCAGAGATAAGTCTACTTGGGAAATCAAGTGTCTCTCTGAAGACTGTTTATGAGTTCAGTGTCAAATCAGTTCATTTTAATGGGTGATGTAATCAATCACTAATATTCTTCATCATTAAAGATATACCTAATAAATAAGTTCTTATAACAGCAGGTTAATCTTCTATGGAACTTCAGAGAGATAACTTAGGCCCATCATCAATGTACAGTACTTATAAACGTAAGGAGTACATTCTGAAGATAGCTGACCTTATTTATTTCTTATTAGAAATTGAGAGTTCCTTACCATGTCTACCAATTCTGAGGAACTTTGCTATTTGCCTCTTCTTAGTACACTGAATATAGAACTAGTACCTAAATTTATTGTTTCTTTCTCTTGTAACTGGGCATAGTACATATGTATATATAATATCTTTTCTCTTAAAGTATTTTCTGGACTATGAAGGACTTCATAGGAAAGAAGAGAGCTATTTAGGGTATTGTGCTTGTAAAGATGCTGGTCTTTCTTTTTGCATTCCATTTTCATAAACTGACTTGGAATATACAGGAAAGAAATGTATCTAACAAATTCTCACTGGTAGATAGAATCGAATAATAGGGCCATCAGTTGCTGCAGAGTTAGGCAATAATTAAACTTTCTAATTTGTTTTCAAATTGAGAAATTACAAGGCAGACATGGTGTTACATACCTATAGTTCCAGATACTTAGTAGGCTAAGACAGGAGGATGGTTTGAGCCCAGGAGTTTAAGGCTAGTCTGGGTAACATAATGAGACCTCCATTTCAAAAAAAAAAAAAAAAAAAAGAAAAGAAAAAGAAGAAGAAAGAAGAAAGAAAATTATATTGCTTTGCTAGTGTTCTCACCCTAGGAGAATATTCTTTCTACTCCTTATACTACTTTATTATGTTTTTTCTCAGATCCATTGTTTATTGTGTCAAGTGCAAAAGACCACACACAGGCATATATTCAAGCCACCCTGATTCGAAGCCGACTGGTATGTCTGATTCATCTACTAAGGCAACCTAATGAATCTGAACTGTCTAGCATGGCTAACTGCTTTAATCAGATTGACAATCATCAGATCTCTACTGGATTTTAGGGTCTGCAGAAATTACTTTGCTATGATTACTAGGGGGCAAGGCATCTCAATACTTGTGATACAAGAGCCATTTGTTAATTTACTTTGATGGAAAAGATACTCATGCCTGGGTTGGAAGAATGCAAGCAGTATGAAAGCATATACAATATAAACTAATTCTAGCCCTGCCATGTAAATAGTCACTGTCATCAATTTCCTGAGTGTCCTTTTAGAGATTGTCTATGCATACAACAATTGTTTTCCCAATATTCGTTGTCTTGTTCTATTTTTTTAAAGTTTATAATATAAAGTGCTTTAGAAAATCTGATATTTTATATATGTATATAATTATGTTCTTTTTCTCCATTCATCCCTTTCCTAACATTAGAGAAAAGTTCCCAGATTTAGAAGCATGTTCAGTAACCTGATTCATTATCCAAGATATTCTCAGTATTGGAGCAAGTCCGATCCTCTCCCACCATTTATCAGTCGAGAATGGAGGGGACTTGAGAAGCATAAAGAAGTCCTCTGGCAGCTTTCCACGTAAGTGTCAGATGGCTCCTGACACTAAATATACTTGTGTATTTTTATTTTAAAAAATTTTAATGTATTTACTCTGCATTATTTAAAAATGTATGGTTATAATGTTTACCTGGACCAAGTTCTCTTGTTAAACCCCTTCTTCCAAAACAAGCTTGATTAAGGAGCAAAGGTTATACATTTATTGGTTAGTAGTTTTCAGAAGGTTGGCATGAAAAAAATATGTAAATTACTAATCCACAAATTATTATTTGTGAGAAACTTCCTTATGGAAATATTTTTATGCTGATTTTTTTTCAGAGAAATGTTAAAATTCTTTGTGTGTGTATGTGTGTATGTGTGTGTGTGTGTGTGTGTGTGTGTTTTACGTGGTGATAGAACTTAGGGCCTCACATATGCTAGGCAAGCATTCTACCACTGAGCTCAGTGTCTAAGCTTAGTGTCATATCTAAGAAATGTTAAATTCTTAACTAAAGCATACTCAATTTCTAGATTTTGGGGAAGGATTCTTTAAATTAAATTACTGGGAATTTCAGAATGTCTTAGGAACTGGAGAACTTGCTGGGGCTAATGACCCCTGAAGCCCAAGTAGTTTTTGAAATCATAGCTTGTTTGTCATCTGCAGGGAAGAGACTGGTATGCCTGCTAATAATGACCTGAAGGTTGCAGAATGTGTATACATTTATTGAAAACTTGCCACCAAAGATAGGAATGACTGCGTTTTTGTTACTTTGATCCATCTTTAGAAATTGTAAGTGCTCTTTTCTGCTAGTGTCCAAAATATTTTTTGGAGACTTACAGCCAAATCACCTTACTCTTGAAATCATTTTTTAAACTACAAGTTAATATTTAGTAAATTAACAAATGATAATGCTTTTGGAACTTTGTTATTCTCATGTGCTTTTAATTAAAAGTGGGCATTTTTATATACAGGATTTCACAAATATATTCATTTCTGAACTCTCACTCCCTATTACTAAGTTCTTGTTTCCTGGCTTACAGGAAGTAATCATGCCTAGTTTAAGATGTAGGACAGCTAAATGCATGATAACGAAGACTTCCCTGTTACTATGAGATATTCAGGCTCTATAGATGTAGAAATGTTAAGTAGAAATTAGAGGTGGAAATGATACACTTGAATAATGTTTTCCTGCTTCATTTTAGAATGGGCACTTGTTTTCAGATGCCTAAAGAAGTTTATGAAAATCCCGACGTTACTGGAAAGAATCGCTATAAATACTTTGACAGGTACAAAATGACTAATGAACATTTCAGTCTTGACATTGTTAAAAAATCTCTTTACATCAATGATAACAGCTATCATTTTAAGTGCATGCAATATACCAGGCACCACTTTAAAGTGCTTTGCATACATGCTGTCTAATCTTCACAACAGAAATGTAGCATAAGATACATATTAGCCACATTTTTCCAATAATGAAGCTGAAACTGAGAAGGAAAAGTAGATTACTCAAAATCGATAAGCAAGCTAGCTTGTGACAGAGCTGGAATTCCAACTAAGTCTGCCTAACTTTAGAGGTACTAATTGCAACTAAGAATGTATATTTGCAGAGATATCATGAAATTGTAGAGCAGGGAAAATTGTTAAAAAAGTGTTCAAATGGTCATTTGCTCTCTGTATGAACATTGTCCAAACCAACACATTAAAAAATTTACTTTATTTCATTTGAGACTAATTTCATGTGATAATTATATACCTTATTAAAATGAGATGAGAATTTTCCTGTAGGTGTTATGTAGGTTAGAAAAATAGTCTTGATATCACATCTGCATAAGCTTCCTCGAGAAAGTAAACTTCTAATCCATGTTATTATTTATGAGTAACTGCCTTATGGAGCTTTTCTGATATTAACTCAGGCATATTCAATTCCTAGACTTTTCTGGGGGGAAAAGGGGATGCTTTAAACTTTAAGTCATTGGGATTTTCAAAATGTCTCAGGGAGCTTGAGAACTTACTTTACTTTCATAAACTAAAGAAGTTTATGAAAATCCTGACGTTACTAGAAAGAATCGCTATAAATACTTTGACAGGTACAAAATGACTAATGAACATTTCAGTCTTGACATTGTTAGAAAATCTCTTCACATCAATGATAACAGCTATCATTTTAAGTGCATGCAATACACTTCACAGCTAATGGCTGGTGAAGCCCAAGTGGAGAACAGTTTCTGAAATCATGGCTTGTTTGCCATCACAAAGAAGATACTGGTATGCCTTCTGAAAACGCACATTCATTAGCTGTGTTCTACAGCTATTAAGTCTTCTGGGCCAGACTTGGGAATGTGCATTTTAAACAAGACCTTCCTCCCTCCCCTCAGTGATTTTATATATGCCAAAATTTTAGTATTTTTGTTACATGAGATATTTGTTGTGTGGCAGATCCCTCAGAAAACACACTAAGTCCTAGTTTTGCCCAAATTGAAGAGTATTTAGCCAGCTATACTGCTCCCCACAGGACCCATAACTGTCTGCAAGGAATAGCCCCATGCCTGAGCATTTTAGGATATTTAAAAGCAAAAACCACATCCGGGTTGATGTAGCTGCAGGCAAGCAGGTACAGAAGCTGGATTGGGCAATTAGCGAGACAATGCAATGGGTACATTGGTGTTTCCCACAGGATTTTCCAGGTTGGCATAGCAGCAAGGAAGCAGAAGGGAAATTGGTCAAAATGACCCTAGTTCAGTACAAATTAAGAGAATGGTTACTAATGTCTAGACAATCAATCTCTGACAAGGTACATTGCCAAAGTAAAATGGAAACAAAGGAGAACAATTTTACATTGTATAAGAATTGGCTATTTTGTGTTGCCAAGTCTAGGTAACTATTAATGGGTACAGAAGAGGGGCTTTCCCATGGGAGAAGCTTTTCTTACATGATAAGGAGTCTCAGGGAAAATAGAGTCTGTTTGGTCATTGCCCAGATAGCCTGGTCCATAATATATTCAAAGATTTTAAGAAACACATACTAAAATTAGAAGAAATGCAAAATGCAAAAGTCCCACACATCTGTGTTTTTCTTTTTCATCCCAGGCCCTTCCTTCCCTTTTATCAACAGATGCCACTCAGTGTTGTTTTTGCAGCAACCAAGTAAGTGACCATTATTTCAAAACACTCTTTTGATTTGTTATTTCCTTCCATATTTGCTTTTAGAAGATAGTTCTCTAAATCAATATTTTTCAAACTGTGGATCAAAACCAGTAGAAAGTGTGAAATTTTCTAGTGGGTCATGAGCAGCATTTTAAAAAACAAACAACAATAGAAAATAACCAGAGTATCAGACATATTGAGGAAGAGTTGTTTTTTGGTATACCTTTTAAGATGGGTATATGCATGTTTTATGTATATAATGAATTATGATAAAAGTGTATTTCTTATTATGAGTTGTCTTAGTCTAAATATTGTAATAAAATACCATAGAATGGGTAATTTATGCATAATAGAAATGTGTTTCTCTGGGCTGGGGATGTGGCTCAAGCGGTAACGCGCTCGCCTGGCATGTGCGGGGCGCTGGGTTCGGTCCTCAGAACCACATAAAAATAAAATAAAACCGAAAACTGAAAAATAAATATTTAAAAATTCTCTCACTCTCTCTCTCTCTTTCTCTCTCTCTCTCTCCCTCTCTCCCTCCCTCCCTCCCTCCCTTCCTCCCTCCTCTCTCTCTCTCTCTTTAAAAAAAAAAGAAATATGTTTCTCATAGTTTTGAAGACTGGGGAGTCCAAGATCAAAGCACTAACACTTGGTGTCTGGTGAAGACCTTACATGGCACGGAGGAGCAAATGCTATGTTTTCACACAGTAAAAGGTGAAAGGGCAAAAAGGGCCTTTTAACTAATTACCTCCAGCCCTTTTGTAAGGCACCAAATGCTCTTATGAGGCTTTATCACTTCCAAAATAGGCCCCACCTCTTAATATTATCAAAATTGGAATTGAGTTCCAACATGAAGTTTGGTTAAGACATATATTCAAACCATAGCAGTTATGATTAAGAGAAAAAAGTTTAATATTCTTTAAATGTCTTCTTTTGCTTCCCTGAAACTCACACTTATTTGATGATGACTCTTCAACATTTTATCCGAAAAACTAATAAATTAAGGAATATTTTGGAATGCTAGAATTTTATAATTTAATAATCATTTAACCTATACAAGGCAATGTGATTTACAAAGATAAGTAAAATATAGTTTTTCTTGCACAAAAAATTGAACCACGATGAGAGAAGTAAAATTCAAGGGCTGAATCTGGTATAAATGTCTTCCATTTTTTAGGGCCAGGCAGCAGTTTATGTAGAGCATTACATTGAAAATCTAGTTTTTTGCAATACGTTTTCCTGTTAACATACCTTAATATTTCTCTGTGATTTCAAGGTATTCATGAAATGTTCAGGAAAAGATGCCTTTTTTAAAGTCTCAAATTCTGAATAGAAATGTGTTTAGGACTGGGTTTCAAACATGCATTTAAATGATGTAGTTATTCTTAATGATATACATATATAGCATCTTGTGAATAAGACATATGTTGTAAAATATCTATAATCCTCAAAATAAATGCCAAATTGGATCTTACTTCTTCCTTGATTTTTTTTTTTTTTTTTTAAGACTTGAGATAGAGAATAGATTCCCTGCTCTTCCCAGATGGAGCAATTTTCTAAGGTGCCAGCTTATCAAGGAGAGATGCAGACTTGTAGGAAATGCTTTGTGTGAGCAAAGGGGGAGCTATGAGATGGGTAGATCCCTACAGATCCCCTGGCAATTCTTTATTTATTTATTTATTTATTTATTTTTTTAAAATATTTATTTATTTAGTTAGTTAGTTCTCGACAGACACAACATCTTTGTTGGTATGTGGTGCTGAGGATCGAACCTGGGCCACACGCATTCCAGGCGAGCGCACTACCGCTTGAGCCACATCCCCAGCCCCCCTGGCAATTCTTTAGAAGCAGGCTCATGGGATTGCCTACTTTGGAGGTCATAGTTACCTCCTGTATAACCATTGTTAAATTATAGGGAGTTCAAGGCCTACAGTGATTAACACCATGCTTCTCCTGCTCCTACCTAAGTAACAATGACATAAGGAATAAAAATTCTCCCCAAAAGTTAGACCATGACATTGGCATGCTACAAGTTTTTACTATGGAAGTTTTGAAAGAATGAATCAGTATTCCTAAGCAAAGCCAACTCTGGAATCCGGGCAGGTTTGCGTTTCTGAGCAGGGAAGAAAGTGCCACCTGTATTAGTGGGAGTGGATTGTCTAGGGAGCAGCTGGCCTTCTCCAGCCACAGCCTTTTCATGGCTGGTTGTTGGATCTTTGGATTCTGTGTAAACATCTTGGCATTGAGAAAAAGGAGTTAAAACTCTGAAAACATTCAATGAAATCTCTTTGTATGCAGCTCTGTTGGATGAGGGAGGGAAAATTCAGAAGATGGGTGAGGCAGATAGTGAGGCCCCCTGATACCTGGGCTGTGGCAGAGGGAGAGTATTTGACCATGAGAATGGGCTGGAACAGATCAGGGTCAGGTCAAACAAAAAGTAGGTGGGGAGATTTTGGGTCTGAGTCTTGAAGGAAGAGGTTTCTTCTTTCTCATTCATAGTTTACTCTCCCCTAAAACCAACTGAAATGGGAGGAAAAGCATAGGTTAGAGAAAATAAGTCATGCTTCTCCTGTTCTTTCCGAAGTAACAATGATATAAAGAATAAAAATTATGAATAAGTGTAGGAGTTCTATCAAAGTAGCATTCCTCTTTTGCATCCTTCTCTTGGGCACTTCTTTAAAAAAAAAAAAGAATACAAACAACAATAAGTATTGTCAAGGATGTGGGGGAAAAGGCACACAAGTACATAGCTGGTGGGACTGCAAATTGATGCAGCCAATATGGAGAGCAGTTTGGAGATTCCTTAGAAAACTGGGAATGGAACCACCTTTTGACCCAGCTATCCCACTCCTATAGCATACTATAGGGACACAGCCACATCAATGTTTATAGCAGCACAATTCACAATAGCTAAACTGTGGAACCAATCTAGATGCCCTTCAATAGATGAATGGATAAAGAAAATATGGTATATATACCCAATGGAATATTATTCAGCAATAAAAGAGAATAAAATCATGGCATTTGCAGGTAAATGGATGGAGCTGGAGAAGATAATGCCAAGTGAATTAGCTAATCCCCAAACCTAAATGCCAAATATTTTCTCTGATATAAGGAGGCTCAGTCATAGTGAGGTTGGGAGGGGAGCAGGGGAGGATTAGAAGAACTCTAGATAGGGCAAAAGGGTGGGAGGGGAAGAGAAGGGATATGGTGGAATGAGATGGACATCATTACCTTAAGTACATGTGTGAAGACAGGAATGGTGTGAATATACTTTGCATACAACAAGAGATATGAACAATTGTGCTCTATACATGTAATATGAACTCTAATGCATTCTGCTGTCATATATAACACATTAGAAGAAAAAAAAAGACACTAATCCATCAGAAAACTTTGTCAGAAGAATTAATTAGACCTTATCATAATCCAAGACATTACCATAATTTGATAAAATGGTTCAAATGAACAATTATTTATTTTGGAATAAACATTCTCTTGATTCAAGCTAATAGTATGATAATATAATAAACTTTAACGTAATCTGGGATGATGTAAAGCTGGTTTGAAGTTATTTTCTCAACTGGAATTTAATAGTAGAATTGTTTCTGCTGAAAACATAAGAAACCATAAATACCTGTATTGTCTACATATGTTAGAAATTCACAGCAACTGCAGTAAAACTGATTTCAAAGTATTTGTTCCATCACAGGTTGAAACTCCAAATAAGCACTCCTTTCTAAACGGCTTGAAATGCATTTTTCTTAATCTGTTGTATATACTGTACTACCTCTGTTCTTTAAAATGGAAATATCTTTTTTTGTTGTTGTTTTATGTGTGTAGTGCTGGAGATTGAGCTCAGGGCCTCATACATGCCAGGCAGGCCCTCTACCACTAAACCATACCCTTAGCCCCTTGCCCTTATCTTTAGTTATTTATTATTTATGTAATTTAACCAGTTCTTCTTCTACCTGGGGGGGCTTTTTTAATAATTAAAGTGGCTATAGTTTTTTTCTTTCTTATTTTAAAACAAATACACACACATGTTCACATATTAAAGAAGAAAATTTAGAAAACTATAAAGATGAAAAAATTCTCTCCGCAATTCTACCAAGAACTAATTACTATTTTTTTTGCCATGAAAGCAATTTTTTTGTTCTAATTACTATTATTGTGTTATATTTTCATCTAGTCACTTCTCTGTGTGTAAAATTCCAGTTTTTAAAAACATAAAAATGGAATTCTACTATATACTCTGTTTAATAGTATCCTTTTTCCTGCTTTTAATGAACCACAAATATTTTTGCATATTTATAATTATAGATTGCAGTATTATTTTGAGCAGATGCATAAATTTCATTATGGATGTTCCATAATTTTAAAATAATTTTTATTTTGCTTGTAATCATTTAGGTTTCTAATTTTTCACTCTTTTATGAAGCTTTATGAACATGTGTGCATATATATCTTTGTATACTTGTACACTTGTCAAATCATTTCCTATAGTAAATTTCTAGGAGTACAATTGCTGAGGCGAAAGGTATTTAAGGGTTTGATATATATTAATAAAGTACCTGTCAGCCCGTTGTACCTGTTTGCATTTCCAACAGTTGTTTTTAAACATGCCCATTTTTCACAACCTCATCAATGCCAGCTACTTTTTTTTTTTTTTTAATTTAATTTAATTTTTTATTGTGGGTTGTTCAAAACATTACAAATTTCTTGACATATCATATTCCACACTTTGATTCAAGTGGGTTATGAACTCCCACCTTCACCCCATACACAGATTGCAGAATCACATCAGTTACACATCCATTGATTTACAAATTGCCATACTAGTGTCTGTTGTGCTCCGCTGCCTTTCCCATCCTCCACCCTCCCCCCTCCCCACCTCTCCCCTCCCCTCCCCTCCTCTCTCTCTACCTCCTCCACTGTATAACCCTGAGGGTCTCCTTCCATTACCATGCAATTTACCTTCTCTCTCCCTTTCCCTCCCA